CAAGGTAAGGGAGGCCCTCTGCTCACCTCCCCCACCCCTAACCTCCTTCAGGCTTTCTTTTAGAGTCACAGAAACAAACCAAAGCTCTAATGAGGGAGCTGTAGGCAAGGAGAGAGAGGGAGAAAGAGAGAAAGGTCGGCAACGGCTAGTCATAAGTAAGAGGATGACAGAGGATGAAATGGTTGGATGGCATCACTGACTTGGAGATGAATTTGAGCAAGCTCCGGGAGTTGGTGATGGACAGGGAAGCCTGGTGTGCTGCAGTCCATGGGGTCAGAACAGTCAGACCCGACCGAGCAACTGAACTGAGCTGAAGTCTGTCCTGGTCCTGACCTAGAATATGGGCAAGACACAGCATCTGGGGCTTGTGACACAGGCCAGAGTCTCCCGCAGCCTGAGCTGCCAGAGCCACAGAAGAATGAGGCCAGGACTGGGGAGCCTGATGGTGAGGAGCGGACCAGAGTTAGTGGCAGCACCCGTGGGCTCAGACTGCCATTCAAAGCCCTGGCTGAGGCCCAGGTAAACTCGGTTTGATTTGCATCTCTTCCATTTGGACTCAACCAAATTCATTCAGATCTCCACCCCAAGTCCAGTGCGCTGCGAGGGCTATTAAAGACACTTACTACAACTGGGAATTCGTCCAACAAATATGTATTGCACTGGCAGATCAAGGGAGAAGTAAGTGGGAGTGGTTTATCACTGTCATTTATATAGAATGGCTACCACATAGTGATAATAAAAAAGTAGACAGATTTGGTTTTTGTACAGACTGACTGTACTGGGCAGACCATGCCTACACCACTCCTTTAGTGTAGCCAGGATGCCTCTGCCAGACCTGAGACACAGCAGTTGAGGAAGAATCAGTTATATGATCACAAAGGAGCCAGTCACGCAAAAATACAGAAAGAATTTGTCAGAGAGAGGACGCAGTAACACAAAGGCCTGTACCAGTGTGGTAAGGGGGTGGTGGGCATGAGCTAGGATGGTACGAAGATGTTGCATTTATCCCTGTCACCCCAAGTCTGTTAACTAATTTTAAGCACGTAGTTTGGGCTAGGCCTATGCTGGTCAGAGAAAACACGGACAAATAAGGCTTGAAAGTATTTGAGAGACATTTGCTAAATTAATTTAATTATGTATGCAGTAAAGAATTTGGCCTTGCCCAAAGAAAGATCTGGCCCTTATTCACAATCCCCCTCCCTGCGTTGGGAAGTAGCCTCTGCACTCTTTGGAATTTCCTGAGTGACAGGAGTGTCTTTGTTATTCAAGGTGGGGGCCCCCTCAGACCACCCCTGATGGTGCATGATCATGAGGTGACTCAGGGTGGACCCCTCAGGCCCTGTGGTATTAGACTGACCTCCAGGGAGGGGAAAGTTGGAGATGCCAGAGTTCAAGGAGATGATCAATCCAGCAAGCTTATGAAATGAAACCAAAAACAAAACCCCTGAACACTGGAATTCAGGTGAGCGTCCCTGGTTGGCAACACTCCCCGTGCCGTATCAGTGACAGAGGCCAGAGACTAACACACCCTAAGGACAAAAGAAGCTCTGGGTTTGGAACACTCCTAAGCTCTGCCCTGTGCAGCCTTCTTGGGCCTTTATTTTTGGATCTGTGTCCTTTCCCATAATGCACCTGGGAGTACAGCGGCTTTCAGGAAGTTCTGCGAGTACTTGCAGAGAATCCTCGAACCTGAGGGTGCTCCGGGGAAGTGTCTGAACTTTCTGCTCGTGGCGGGAGTAAGGGCAGTCTGTGGAGGACTTGCCTTCAGATTTCGCAGTTGGGCTGACCTCAGGTTTCATGTGACCTCGGAAAGGGAATCTAAAGAAAGGGATCTAAAGATCTTCTCTCCCAGTTCCATTTTACAGGCGAGGAAGCAGATCCAGAGGGAGGAAGGGGCTCGCCCGCAGACACGGAACATCCCGGCGCAGGGGGCTGCCCCTGACGGTCTTGACTCCCAGCACACTGTGCGTTCTGCAATATCCTGGTGTAACTTCGACTGTGAAGCTCAGTGGGGAAACACTCACCCTGAAGCCACAAGGGCTTTGCTGCACGGAATTTTCACAGGCATCCCTGTGTTTAGGGAAGCTCACTCCTTACCAGGTCTCCTGACTTCACTCTGAGGGCTTTCTCTTTAAAACATTTAAGTTGAAGTATTTAATGTTCACAAAGCAAGGGAATCGCATGAAAGAAGAATCAATGCTTTCATTGGGCGAAAACACTTTTTTAGGGGGAAAGTCTTTCTTTGTTACTGAAATTTTATAATTTTCAAATAATTAAAATTTAGTGCTAGAAAAGATCTTCGTGAATTTCTTGGTTCAACCCTTCCTTTTACACACAGAGATGCTGAGGCGGAGAAAGAAAAGGGAGTCTACCCAAGGCGACCTCACGAGTCGGTGGCAAGGACAGGCTGAGCTCAGGTCTCCTGACCCTCGGCATAGCCTTCAGTCTGGTCAGAATGACTTTCCTGCAGGAGCCAAGACAGTGCGCACACGTTTATAAAAGTCCTGAAGGGACCCTCACAGGCCCCAGAGCAGCCCATCTTTGTTTATGTTGCCTGGGCAACATTGGCTATCTTACTCTGCCATAAATTCTTTAAGCAGCGACCAGATACTCTCTATTTCTCAGGGGGTTGGGGGAAAGGGGACTCTCGTCACTCTTCCTATAGAGCAGGAATGAGCAACCATCTGCCAATCCCACCACTGAGGCAGCTAGGACCAGAAGACACCTTGATGCCATCAGATTTACTAAATCATAAAATCTACTGCAGGCCTGATATGATTTCAACCAGGAAAATCTTTCTATCACCTCTAGTTAAGCACAATATTTAAATAATGGGCTTGCATTTCTAACAAGCAACTGAGGTATGTTACCCTCATTACCCTATATAATTATCTGGTGACTATACTCCTAAAGCACAGGAACAGATTTTTGCACTTGTTTAGAGGCCCCCACAGCGTGAGCCATCTAAGAAGTGAAAGTGTTAGTGGCTCACTGTGTCTGACTCTGCCATCCATGTAGATGGATGACCGCCAGGCTCCTCTGTCCATGGGATTCTCCAGGCAAGAATACTGGAGCGGGTAGCCATTCCCTTCTCCACGGGATCTTCCTGACCCAGAAACTGAGCCCTGATCTCCTCCACTGCAGGCAGGTTCTTTACCATCTGAGCCAGCAGCGAAGCCCTACAGAAGGTGTGTAACACATGAGAGTCACATGAGAGTCAATCTATGGCAACGTCCCACCTCCTGGGGCCACTCTCAACTCGGCACAAAGACAGCACAGACATAAGTTAGCCCATGAGCTCTCATCTATCCAGCATCAGTCAAGATGGAAGGAGAGTCTACTTAGATCTTTAAAGTTCAAAAGGTATTTAGATATCATCTTGTATTAAAGGGGTGTGGAGAAAGGGCGGAGGAGACAGATTGAGAGAGGGTACTGACTTACCGCTTGCCATGTTGTTGTATTTTAGTCATTTTCTACAGAAACACTTCTTATGCATCATATTTCTGGCCTTCTTAACCAGAGTATGAAACACTGACTAAAATGCAATCCTTTCCTGAGGGTTCAGCTCCATTGTTATGACTGTAAACTTGTTTCTATGCTATGATTCTGTGATGTTCAAATGATGAGAAGATAAATGTGGGGGTAATTTGCTTCTATACTAAATAACCCAGACAAGTTTATACTTTTTTACCCCTCCTTTTCTTCTTTCCTACCATACGATTTCAAGAATCCAATTACTTGGTTCCTGATTGCAGCATAATCCCAGCAAAGCACTGATCTTTAGAAAAGGGAGAGATGATCTCAAAGCCAAAGACTGGAGGGAACCTACACCCAGAGGCTGCTTACTTATGTAATAACACAGGTAGCCTTTATTGAGCATTTATGATAATGCTATGCCATAGTTTATGTTCTTTACTTCATTTGATCCTTGTAACAATCCTAGAACACAGGTGCTATTGTTCAGATCTCTCCTGAGTCAGAGATACAGTTCTTGTTCAAGGTCACAAAGCCAGTAAACTATCAAACTTGGAGAGTTCTTGCATCAAAGCCCACATTCTGAGTTCGATTCCACCTCCTTAAATGTCTGAAGTAGGATCTTGAAAGCAAGATCGCTGAGAGATTTTCATTTACAAGTAATAAAACCTGAACCCTAGAAAGGGTAACTTCCCCCCAAAGTCACACAGCCATTTGGAGCTAGACTAGGACTCAGTTCTTGGATTTGCTGTTCCAAGTTGTTACAACTCTATTACATATTGGAGGGAAGAGTTTAGCAATATTTTTGAAAAATGAGCTACATCCTAGACGGACTAAAGGCCCTCAGGCCCAGGGTCCCTGCCTTTCTTTGGCCCATTCTAGAGCCACAGGGCCTGAGGTTCCACAAAAGCTTCACTGTGGATCTCCCACTAGACCTGTGGCTGGAGTACTGTCATTGTGGATGTGACTGACCTGAGTCACACACCACAGGCAACTAGGAAGCTGCCTCATCTCCCCTAGGGAGGAAAGCAGAGTTCTCATCTGAGTTCTACCTGTCACTCTCTCTCTCCCAGAATGAGGGACCAGACTCTCCCCCTCTCCAGACCAGCAGGTGTCTCAGAAACACCCTTCTTTCTCTACAAATGTGACAGACCCCTCAGGCACTGAACAGCTAATGAGAGACCTGACCCAGCCCTTCCTCAGAGACCTCCCAGGTTACAAGTCCCAGGGGGAACAGGGTCTAGTTCCCTGGAGTCCTCAAGTTCAGAGGGGAGGGATCTGATACTCCATCTCTGGACAGTTATACAGCTGATCCTGCAGATTGCTAATGAGGAGGTTTCTATAAGGGGTGATGGAAGATAATCTCAGAGGGGAGGGAAGGGAAAGAGAGGGAGAAGGAATAGACTACAGAGAGTCCACCCAGGCCTGTGGGTATCTGAACTCTGCTCCATCCGAGAGCCACTGCTATCTGCAGCAGTGGGCTAGGCAAGGGTCTGTGGCTGCCCTTGTGTCTCCTTCCTGCTTACCTGTGGCTGCTGGGTGGTCAAGGGTCTCTGAGGAGAGAGGATAGGGGTCCTCGACAGCAGCTGGCTCATCTTGCTGACGACCAGCTCAGTGATGAACTGTCTGTCCTCCGCCTGGTGCTCCCCAATCAGCGGCATACTACAGTCCATGACCTGGTGGGGGAAGGGAACCCGGTTAGGAAAGGAGACACCCACGGCCTGGGACCGTCTTTCAGAACGAGCAGGACTTAAGCCAGCAGAGGTAGGCTGGGGTGAAGTGGGTGCTTGTGTCTTCAGTTGGCATGCCTCTGTTCCCTTTCCTGCAGCCTGGGCCTTGGGCCTCCCCAGACTGCATGCGGGTCAGGGCTCAGGTGGTGGGCAGAGGGAGAGGGCAGGCAGGTAGTCCAGCCCCGGGCTCTGAGGCTGGCAGGCAGGGGAGCAGGGACATGCAAGGCCACGCCCTTAACTCCGGTGAGGAGAAGGCAGTTCTCTCCTCTGTGACTCTTCTCCCACACAACCTCTGTCCCCACTGAGACTCTGCCCATTAAAAGACTGGCTTCCTGCCTTTGCTCATGACCTGGGATGCCTTCACTTTCACCACCGAGCCAATTCCTCCTGTACCTCAATGTCCAGATCAATGTTTTCCTCCTTTAGGAAGTGTCTGCCTGCCCAGGATCGCAGACTCCATAGTTCAACTCTCTCATTCAGGGATAAGAAAACCAAGGCCCACCAAGAGGAGGGTGGTATGACCATCTAGAAGTTACATGCCGAGCAGGCCACGGAGTAGATTCTGAAGCCCACTTTGGGCTCCAGACATGAATCCTCTGCAAATACCACCGACACCTGGCAAGGAGCCTCTCCTGCTCCTGGGAAGACTGGACGGGAACGTGCGTGAAGGACACCTACAGCCGCTGACTCTCCCGTTAACGTGGGAAAAGGGTCAGCAAGGTTGTGCCAGAGGCCCAGACGGAGTCAAGGGTTTCCAGGGTTCAGAGAAGGGCTAAGAAGCATCTCCTGCGTCCAGGAGACCTGAGCTCTAGCCGAGCTGAGACACCAACTCACTGCGTGGCTTTGCTTGTGGCCTCAGGCCTCCACTCTCGCACTGGCAGAGCAGACTGGACCCAGTGATTCCCAAGGCCAGCTTCCGGAGACTAAGAATGGCAAAACGACTGAAGGCTTCCCGGAGGAGTGGCCGGCTAGGACCCCGGAACCCGGGTCTGGCATCTCTCACCGGTGGTGTGGGTCAGCCCAGCTGGTTAGAAACCACAGCTCCACTGGCAGCTGTTTGGCTCTGCACACTCCCCAGCTGTGTCACCTGGGAACCTTCCCACGGCTCAGGAGATCTAACCTAACTGCAGTCCGTGCTCCCATGCAGCTCTCAAGCCAAGAGCTTGGCCTCCAGCCCTGGGGCTCGTCTCTTACTGAGATACTCTTTGGGCCAGACTTACCTCAAAAATATAGTCTTTCCCATCTTTGCCATGCACAGCTTTGACGGCACAGATGTCCAGGCCACCGAACATCTCAGAGCAGGTGTCCACCCACAGCTTGTACCTGGAGTGGGGTGGGGGAGTGTCCTGAGGCTGGGGTACTAGTTCCCACCTAGCCTGCTTGTGGTCATGCTATCCTGGCTGCCTCTACCTCTCCTGGCTGCACCCCCCAGCCCTCCTCCCATCAGTCAAGCACACTGCCCTCTTGCTTTGCTCTCCAGACCCTCTCTGCCTTCCCAAGCTTAGAGCAGGTCTCACCTACTCTAGGCAGCCTCCCTCAGCTGTTCAGCCCACAGTAACTCCTCCTGCCCTGGAGCGTCTATGGCAAGTCCAGTCTTTATCTCCACCATTCTCCATCATATCTCCAGTCCTGCCTGATCTTCTTAACTGGGTATTTGGGCCTTTGTGTTCCATCTGTCTGGCCAGATTAGAGGCTCCCTTTGGGCAGGACTTGTTTCTTACACCTCCTCTTCTACGGAAGCCGCCCTCACCAGACAGGGGAGTTGCACCCCTCTCCTCGCTCACCGGTCTGACATGGCGATCTGCTCTAGCATTGCAGAGCCAGTGTTTGTCTTCCAGTTCCCCGAGATCGACGTCCTCCTGCAACAAGGCCCCGCCAAGACGGGTCAGTGAACGGCACTGCGCTGAGGGCTCATGGTCGCTGTCCCCACCTGCCTCTCCCACCAAGAGCCTGGGGGCCTGTCTGCTGAGCCGAGAGCCTGGCTTCTGCTGCCAAACCCCCAACCCGCAATGCTCTCTTCCTTTCTACAAGAGTCCGGCCCAGGTTGCCCTGATGCCCTGGAGTCTTCCCTGATCTTTTCAACCTGATGAGCACTTGTTCTCCTTACAATTCCTAGAGGATTTTGCCTCCACCTCTCTTCAAATCCTGTGTCTACTTTTTACTTTAGTTATCTGAGCTAAGTCTTCTGTCCACAAATCTATTAACCACTTGAAGATATATATTGTGTCTTGTACTTTGGCCACCTGATGAGAACAGTTGACTCATTGGAAAAGACCCTGGTGCTGGGAAAGATTGAGGGCAGGAGGACAAGAGGGTGGCAGAGAATGAGACGGTTGGATGGCATCACTGACTCAATGGACAAGTTTGAGCAAACTCCAGGAGATAGTGAAGGATAGGGAAGCCATGGGGTTGCAAAGAGTCAGACACAACTGAGCAACTAAACAACAACAACAAATTGTGTCTAGTGAGACACAGATGTATAGAACAGACTTTGGGACTCTGTGGGAGAAGGCGAGGGTGGGATGATCTGAGAGAATAGCATTGAAACATGTATAGTATCAAGTGTGAAACAGATCACCAGCCCAGGTTGGATGCATGAGACAAGTGCTCAGGGCTGGTGCACTGGGAAGACCCAGAGGATGGGGTGGGGAGGGAGGTGGGAGGGGGGAATCAGGATGGGGAACCCATGTAAATTAATGGCTGATTCATGTCAATGTATGGCAAAAACCACTACAATATTGTAAAGTAATTAGCCTCCAACTAATAAAAATAAATGAAAAATAAATGAATAAAATACAGATCAATGCAGGAAAAAAATACTGTGTCTCGTATTCCTGTCAGCCTGCCCACTTGGCATCTGTCTGGGCTGACTTGGGACGCACAAGCTGAATTCTACTGGTCCTGGAAATGCCTTCAAGACTTCAGTGAATATCTCCCCATGGCTTCCTTACTAGCTCACTTATTCTTTCAACAGTTAACGCTGACGGCCTACAGTATCAGCACTGTGGCTCTGGACAGGCTGGTTGACCTCTTCAGGCTTAAGCTGCCTCATCCCTCACATGGAGCTCTGGAGTCAAGTCCCCTACCCTTCTCTTTAGTGCCCTCTGCATCCTCCATCTGTGACCACATGCTAGATAGAGTCAATTAGTCCTGGACTAAGCAGGAGGCAATTGACCTGGTTTCTGGTTCTGGATTTGCTCTTGACTGGCTGGGTGATCTTGGGTGAATCACCTCACCTCTCTGAGCCTTCCTTATCCTTCTGTAAACACAGGGTTGTCATGAGGACCAAATTATACAGGTTTTAAGTAAACTGTAAATTAGTCTTCACTGAGACACAGTCAAGAGGAAGGTGATGGCCCAGGGACAGAAAAGCCACACTCACCCACTGACAGAGCCCAGTCACTCGCTACCACATGCTGGCTTTGTCACTCACTATCACTGGAGACTGATGATGTGATTCTCTGCTCAGCAGTTCTCAGGAGTATCCTCCCTGGAGATTCAATACCAGATGCTGGGAAACCTAGACACATGGCAGGTTCTTCAGAGCCCTGCGCCAGCCCAGAGAGCCGACCCTTACGGCAGTGACAACGCCTCACATCTGTATAGTGCCGATTCTCTTCCAAGGCTGCTCCATCCCAAAGCCCTCACCAGAGCCTCACTGAAAATTCTCTGGTGTGAGTAGGCTGCAATTTTTGCCCCTGCTTTACAGACGAGGAGATTGAAACTCAGAAAGGTTCGCTGACTCGTCCAAGATTTTGTATCTAGTCAAACTAGGTTCACATGCTAGCAAGGTAATGTTCAAAATTCTTCAAGCTAGGCTTCAGCAGAACATGAACTTTCAGATGTACAAGCTGGATTTAGAAAGGCAGAGGAACCAGAGACCAAATTGCCAACATCTGTTGGATCATAGAAAAAGCAAGGGAATTCCAGAAAAACATCTACTTCTACATAGCCTTTGACTGTGTGGATCACAACAAACTGTGGGAAATTCTTAAAGAGACAGGAATACCAGACCACCTTATCTGTCTTCTGAGAAACCTGTATGCGGGTCAAGAAGCAACAGTTAAAATTGGACATGGAACAACAGACTGGTTCCAAATTGAGAAAGGAGTACGTCAAGGCTGTATGTCACCCTGTTTATTTAATTTATATGCAGAGTATATCATGTGAAATACTGGGCTGGATGAATCACAAGCTGGAATCAAGATTGCCGGGAGAAATATCAACAACCTCAGATATGCTGATGATACCACTCTAATGGCAGAAAATGAAGAGGAACTAAAGAGCCTCTTGATGAGGATGAAAGAAGAGAGTGAAAAAGCTGGCTTAAAATTCAACATTGGAAAAACTAATGTTGAATGAAAAACTAATGTTTTTTCAATGGCATCCAGCTCCATCACTTCATGGCAAATAGATGGGGAAAAGTGGAAACAGTGACAGATTTTCTTCTCTTGGGCTCCAAAATCACTGTGGATGGTGACTACAGCCATGAAATTAAAAGACGCTTTCTCCTTGGAAGAAAAGCTATGATAAACCTAGACAGCATATCAAAAAAGCAGAGACATTACTTTGCTGACAAAGGTCTGTACATCAAGGCGTGTATGTATGGATCGAGTCATGTATGGATGTGAGAATTGGACCATAAAGAAGGCTGAGTGCCAAAGAATTGGTGCTTTCCAACTGTGGTGCTGGAGAAGGCTCTTGAGAGTCCCTTGGACTGCAAGGAGATCAAATCAGCCAATCCTAAAAGAAATCAACCCTGAGTATTCACTGGAAGGACTGGTGCTGAAACTGAAGCTCCAATCCTTTGACCACCTGATGCAAAGGGGCAACTCACTGGAAAAGACCCTGATACTGGGAAAGATTGAGGGCAAGAGGAGAAATGGGCAGCAGAGGATGAGATGCTTGGATGGCATCAACAACTCAATGGACATAAGTCTGAGCAAATTCCAGGAGATAGTGAAGGACAGGGAAGCCTGGTGTGCAGCAGTTCCTGGAGTCGCAGAGTCGAATGCAAGTTAGTGACTAAACAACAAGCCAAGGACTCTTGGTTCCCTCATTGGGTTTCGCTTTCCCCTACACCCCACTGCCTAGTCCAGAAAAGATGAACAACTCACAGTTGAGTGGCTTGCTCTATGTGAACAGAAACACAAAGACAGATCAGAGTAAAAATAATGCTGCCTTCCTAGCACTGGTGGTTCATAGGTGTGCTCCTGTGACCAGGCTGGGCCAAGTCCCTCACTTGTTGTCCGCAGCACAAGGCCATGGTACATAATAGGGTGTCAGAAACTTCTGAGCGAGTAATAGCAAAGCCCCTTATACTTCACACCTTCCCCTGACAACGGGATGCCAGGCACAGATCCATGATGGCTACCTGGGGCACACGGGAGCCCGAGAAGCCATCCAGGACTGCCCGATGGCCACTCAGGACTCACAGGCCATGCGACCTCCACAGAGGGACCCCGCTTATTGCTGACTGACAGACAGCAGCGGGGGCGGGGCACCCTTCCCACCAACCCTAGCCGTCCCCTGGCCTCCAGGTGAGGGCTTGGGGAGCCGGGAAGAACCTCAAACCTCACCTTGGCTACTGTCGTGTCAGCTCCTTCTTCTGAGAGCAAGAAGATGGCCCAAAGTTTGGGGAAGAGGAGCTGAGAGAACCTAAACATTCGCCCAAACAACCAACAGTCCCTCATAAGTAAAAAAGTTAAGTGAGTATTTTCTAAAGCTGCTCTGGTCACTTACCCCTCATCAATCATTGGGGATTCTCTTTTCCTATGCTCCATTTAAGTTGTTTTCAGAAACCCCAATCTTTAAAAATGTGGTGCCTCCTTTTAAGGATCAAGACACTCTTGCTCCAGTATCATCGATGCTTTTTTATTTATGGGATTTTAAAATTAAAGGATAGAAAATCTGCTTTCATCAGTGCCAAAATCATGGATTTTTCTACTACTTTTAGCTAGTTTTTGTAACGGTCTTTTAAATTGTGCTAAGTCGTGTCCGACTCTTTGTGACTCCATGGACTGTACCCCATCAGGCTCCTCTGTCCATGGGATTTTCCAGGCAAGAATACTGGAGTGGGTTGCCATTTCTTCCTCCAGGGGATCTTCCTGATCCAGGGATTGAACCCGAATCTTCCTGTCTTATATTGTGCATACTTCTTGATTTTATTTATTTATTTACTTGGCTGTGCACAGCACTTGGGATCTTAGTTCTCCGACCAGGGACGGAACCTGGGCCCTCAGCAGTGAGAGTGCAGAGTCCTAACCACTAGACCATCAGGGAAGTCTTACATTGTGTGTAATTTTAAAGCAACCCTAAATTCCTTCCTAAAGCAGGATAGCTTTAAATAAAAAATGATAAACTTGGAAAGTAGGAATCTGGTCAACAAAGGTAAAAAGGATTCTGTGACTCAGTTCCCCCCAGGGCTCCTCTCTGCACACTTACTGGGCGCCTCCTACAAGTCTGCTGCTGCACAAGGAAGCAGGGTTGCAGCAATTACTCTGTCATCACCACCCAGAGAGCGCAGAGGAGCGCAGCACAAACGCCCATGTGTGAAGAGTGCTCAGCTAGAGGTGTGCGAGGGGTTACAAGAGGGCGCACAGGGACGGGGCTCCTATCTCACTCGAGGGGCAGGGAGTATAAACCCTAAAAAGAAACAAAAGGGGAAAAAAAGGAAAATAGGTGGGTGAGGGGGAGGGAAGCTGCTCCACCCTGATGTGGGCTCAAGTCCAGAGTGGCAAAGGTCACATTCATAGACTGTGATGTTCTTTGTGAAGAAAAATACTACCTTAAAATTTTTTTTTAAGTGTGAAGTTGAAGTGAAAGTGAAAGTTGCTCAGTTTTATCCGGCTCTTTGTGACCCCCATGGTCTATACAGTCCAAGGAATTCTCCAGGCCAGAATACTGCAGTGGGTAGCCTTTCCCTTCTCCAGGGGATGTTCCCAAACCAGGGATTGAACCCAGGTCTCCTGCATTGCAGGGTGGGTTCTTTACCAACTGAGCTATCAGGGAAAATGTGAAGTTACTATTTCTAAAATTGGACTTATAAGCCATTTGTGTTTGGATGTATATTTCAGAAGATCAGGTAGTCTTGAAATCTTTTCTTTTTCTCAATTCTGTTGCAGGAAGCCTTTCCCTTCTCATTTTGGCAAATGGACCCAGTTACATGGAAGTCACCTATTCTCATAACCACTATGCTTTTCACGTTCTGTAGTGTCTACACGGCTACATATTTACAGTTTCTTAGCTTTTTCTGTGCTCTGGAAACCTCGTGAAGCCTACAGATTCCTTTCGATGTATGAAATACTGAAGATGTATAGGTGTGAAATAAAATACACAGGACAGAAAAGAACTCAATTATTTAAAATAATTATCCAAAAAGTTATCAAAAACAATAAATCTCTGATTAGTGTAAAAATATATGTCTTTTTTTGTAAATAACAAATGTATTTACAGATACGAATGTAGCAGCAAGTCTAACTATCATGAGTATAAGTAGTGATAAAATTAATTGGTATTTAGAGATCTCTGTCATAAGCATATGTGACACAAAAACCTCTGTGGTCACCGCTGGTGACAAACCACACGTCTGTCTACTATTGCGGCTACTCCAGTCTGCTCATAACTGAGGAGAGCGTCGGGTTTCACTTAGAGGCTAATGAAAGTAAATATTCAGTTTCTGTCTCATCTTAGTTTGGGAACCCCTCCTCTGCCTTGAAAGGAAGCCAGGCCCAGATTCCCTTATGTGAATGGCGCCCTCCCTGTGTCTGCCTCTTGGGGCCAGGGGAGGTGAAACTGAGAGCTGGCTGCTGCCTGGAGGTTGAGCATTGTCCCTGAGCTGACGAGACAGGGACGGGCATCTGGGGGGCTCCACCCGAGGGCCCCACCCCGCTCACATGTAAGCCTTGTAGTTGGTGCCTATCTTCTGGACCCGGATGTCATACTTGGCATCAATGAAAGGCTCTGCGGTGGCGTAGGTCTGGGTGAGGGCCACCACGCTGGCAATGTCCTGGAAGTCGTAGTGGTTTTCCACTTTGACCTAATGGTGGAGAAAGGCAGAGAGGGAGAAAGGGAGATGCGCGTGCGCGCACACACACACACACACACACACACACACACACACTGAGCGTCACGAGAGCCCTGGGCCCCCAGGCTCGTCACAGTGCTCACACCCAGAGGCGAACCTGGGCGCCACATCTCCCCAGGAGGTCCCCACTCTTGAGCTTCCCGTCCCAGGGCTCGGGAGCCACATCTGCTGCAAAGAGCACAGGGACAGTCTGGTGGCCTGCACTCTGCTTGCTGCAAGAGGCCTGTCTGGGTAACACTCATGGTTTCAGAGGGGCCATATCATCTTGGCCTCAGAGAGAATACATCAGCAACTGAGGCAGAAGAAGCGTCCACAACCGGGCTTCTGGAAAAGCTCCTGTTGTGGCCTCACCCCCAGAGCACAGTGGCCCTGGCCTTACCTTGCCCATGCCCGAGTGAGCGTGGCCGATCTTCACCACCACAGGGAATGTGGGCAGAGTCAGCTGAAAGCAGAGGAGAAAGGAATGAATTGGTCAGAGTGTATCTGTCTCTCTGGGGAATCCTACAAATATTTTTCTTGGGAACACCCTTGGAAGCGCTCTTTAAAGAACCAGTGCAACCTATTTGCATCAGAAATTAAAAAATTTAAAAACAGAGTGACAGTGACTTGCCTAAGGTCACAGCATATTAGTGGCAGAACTACAAGGAGCCTGTTCTCCTGTTTGGTACTCTCTGCATCTTTAAGACTCATTGCTTCAGCCTTCATGGGTCCAGCTTTCCTGCACTGAACCTGGCTTCTCTCCCCTCTCACACTCTCTTCCTTGCTCACCAACACCTCAAACTCACTACTGAACACAGCTCAGAGTGCAAAGGCAGGTTTCTGCCCAGTTTGGGTTGGAAGATAGCTAACATAAGAATGCAGCACATTTACCATTCGAGAGAGATGCTTAAGAGGGTAAACGCTACCTTGTTGTTCAGTCACTCAGTCGTGTCTGGCTCTGCGACCCCATGGTGGTGGCACGCCAGGCTTCCCTGTCCTTCACCACTACCTTGAGATAGTCATATTTTAACTAAAGGAACCACAAAGACTTACAAGAAGAAAAGCCACCCCCTAAAGGCAGGATTTCAAGCTGTTACAAAATGGCCATGGGAGAAGTAACATGGTAGAGGGGACCAGACGTCAGGAGACCCGCATCCCAGTCTCTCTGCAAGTCCGTTTGCTTCCTTGGGCCTCAGCCTTCACATCTGCCAAGTGAAGAGGCAGAACGGGACGCTTTCAAGACCCTGTCCAATCACACATCAGACTTTATCCTGGCTGGGTTTGCATGAAGAACCAACCTGGACGCCAAACCTCATCCTTTCTTAGTCAGGCTCAGTTCTCTCTCAGCTGCATTCTTTTCAAACATCATGACCACATCAAGATGAAAAGTTGTCTTTTAGAGGATATACTATTGACTCTGATGAAAAGTCAGATTCCCGTGGCAATCCTGAGTGTGACCAGATACTGGGAGTGCCTGACCTGAGGATTTCAGCACTCCTGGCTGAGGCCAGCTGAGGCTGGGGCAAGGAGCTTCAAGCTCAGTTCACCGCACTTTATGGAGAAGTGAGTGAAGCCCAGAGAGGCCAGGCTGTGAAGCTCCTGAGGGACAGAATCTGCACCCGGCCTCCTACTGTCTGGTGGAAGACTGTGTGGAAACATCCTACAACTACCGTGCGGGTCCCTCTCTGCTTGCAGCCTCAGAGCACTATGCTGTCTGTCAAACAGCACACAGGGCTCCAGTCCACGCCCCGAGTGCCTCACTTGTTTTCAAAGCTGCACCACCCTCTATAACAAGACACAGTCTCTTGGCTGAGTAGGGCGCTGAGACAGGAAATCAGGGTGGCCAATAGCAGAGAAAGGGCTTTGAGGGCCCAGGTTTGCCCCAGTGATGGGCTACCCCATGCTCTGAGCCCCTCAAAGAGCACTGTCCTCACGCCATCTGCATGAGCTCCGGGAACGGGAAAGGGTTTCTAAGGCACCGGCTGCTTTCTCCGCCGTCTCTCCCTACCCCCCAGCCGACAGAGCCAAGACACACACCCCCCCCCCAACTTTCTCCGTCCTGTTCCATTACTGTTTGCTGTTGCTTTGGAGCCTCATAAATAGGGCATTGAAAACACTTCCTGCAGCTGAAAGAAGCCCTGAGGAGCTTGTCTCATTCCCAGTGTGCCGCTCAGCAAGAGGCCCGGCCTTCTCTGCCGCCGTCTCTCTTGCCTGTTGTAATTCTGTCTGCCTCTCTGACTCTGCTGTGCCTCTCTTTCTGTTTGAGCCTCTCCGCACGCTCGTCCCTTCTGCCTGAGCCACAGCCCCTTGGGCTCTGCACCCCCATGCATCTGTCACCACTGCCCTGTCCTTCTGTCCTGACGCCATCCCCTTTCCCGGTGCCTTCCCTCTACTTCGAGAGGGCTCAGGCCGGGAAACAGCACCGGGGACTCTCGCGGCTTTCCCCTGCGTCTTACCAAGCCTGCCGGCCAGGAGGGCAGCGGGTCGGCAGCCCCAGGGTGGCCTGCGGCCAAGGGAGGGCGGAGCCCATCGGGGCGGGATTGGCTCTGGGTCCACCTCATAAAGCCGGGGGCGAGGGGCGCTCCGCGCTCTGGAGAAGCCGTGGAGGGGCACTGTGGTCTGACAGTCCCCGCAGGCTCAGTCGCAGCCCTGCGGAGACATGCCCCGGAGCCCCCGGCCCGCGCCGAGCTGGGCGCTGTTGCTGCGGTTGCTGGCGCTGCTGCGGCCGCCGGGGCTGGGCGAGGCGTGCAGCTGCGCCCCCGCGCACCCCCAGCAGCACGTCTGCCACTCGGCACTCGGTGAGTCCGGGGGCGCTCTCGAGGGCCCCAGCTGTGGGTGGGGGTGTGTGGGGTCGAGGTGGGGCCGCACAGCAGACCTGGCGTCTAGGGGGGGAAGGGGTGGAGCTCAAATCCCGCCCCAGTTGCCTCCTGCTGCGGCCGGTGGGTTGGGCCGGGCCGGCGCCATAGCAACCCTGCCGCTGACTTGCCAGGGAATAAAAGACAGTGTAGGACTTCCTAGGAGGCGGAGTAGTAAAGAACCAGCCTGCCAATGCAGGAGACCCAAGAGACAAGGGTTCGATCCCTGGGTCGGGAAGATCTCCTGGAGAAGGGCATGGCAACCCAGTCCGATACTCTCGCCTAGGAAATCCCATGGAGGAGCCTGGCGGGCTACAGTCTATGGGGTTGCAAAGAGTCAGCTACAACTGAGAGAATGAGCACAAAGACAGTGTAAAGGGCTCCACAGCAATCCCCTCTCCCCTGCCTACTGCAGTTATGGGATGTCACTGAACAAGTCTCTGGAACTATCCAGTGATTATTCTGATCCACTGGTTAGGGGGGTTGGGGTTCAGGGGGTTGGGCTTTCATGACAAACATCCCTCTGTATCCAAGCCTATAACTGAGGTTGTCACCACTGCCCCACTCCAACACTCACCCTTTACCCTTTCTCTCTGCCTGGAATGCCCTTCCTCAAAAACCCTTAGCTTCCTGGCAAACTCCTATTCATCTTTCAGAACCAGGGGTCTCCCCTTCTCGGAAGGCTTCCTGACCCCTGGTGCTACCACAGCATCCCCATCATCTCTGTGCTCCTACTGTGCTGTGCTGTTGGTCTCTGTAAGAGTGTTCTCCACTAGACCAAGAGTTCTGCAGGGTGGGGGCCCTGTCCTTAATCGTGCCTGTGGGCCTAGGACCCAGTGTTAGACCAGGCGTGGAGGAAGAACTTCACAACAGGTTTTGATTAATACCTGAGCGACAAAGAGATGAACCATCTCTGTGCACGGTGAGGATATCTATTAATTCAATAAACATTTGCCAGCGTCAGCTCGGCTGGGCTCCCTCTGAGGTCCTGGGCTACAGCGGTGGATGACTACACACTGACTGCCCTCAAGTGGCTCCTCCGCCCTGCCCGTCTCCACCCCACTGTACTCTGGGCTGCGGAGAACTCGACTCCCCAGACCGGCAGGCAGAGTGGAGAGACTCAAGGACTTGGTAGGCCCGAGGAGTTTGGAACGTCCAGAAATTAGAGACGAGTATCCCTCACATGCAGCATCTTCCTTGCAACCCACTGAGACCTAAGCCCAGAACCCCTCTGCAGAATTCTCCAGGGGGCCACAGGTCACCCAGATCCCAGGAGGATCGCTCCCACAGGCTGCTGAAGGTCCCCTCTTTTCCTGTGCAGCTATCCGGGCCAAGATCTCCAGTGAGAAGGTAGTTCCTGCCAGCGCAGACCCTGCTGACCCTCAAAAAATGATCCGGTATGAAATCAAACAGATAAAGGTACATGGGGGCAGGACAGGGCGTCACCTCCTTGGGCTGTTAGGAGTTGGGGGCTGTGATCTGGGGGGGCTGGGGCTGGGGGGCTGCTGGTTCGGGCGGCCTGGCTCAGTGATGCTAGGGGTACAGATACTGGAGTGGATGACGTGTAGGGGACAGGCTATCGGAGCCAGAGGACAGTTCAGGAGAGGCCCTCGGTGTTTGCGCATGGGGCTGCTAGAGGCACCTCCCTTGTCACTGGAAGAAACCAAGGTTTAATTATTTCTAGGGAGATAAGACCCAGTTGTGCCATCCGTGTGCAACGAGTCCTGAACTAGACTTTCACTTAACTTCTTTAGATTAAGAAAAATTTTTTCCTGTTAAGATATAAAGTACACTCGCTGACTCAATACTGCTCTTTCATAATTGCCTTTCAGATGTTCAAAGGGTTTGAGAAAGTCAACGATATTCAGTATATTTATACGCCTTTTGATTCCTCCCTCTGTGGGGTGAAACTGGAAGCTAACAGCCAGAAGCAGTATCTCCTGACTGGTAAGCTAAAGACCAACAGCGGCCCTATGAGTCTCTGCCCTAGGAACGCAGGCAAGGAGGAGCCAAGCTGACCTTGGGCAGCAAGCTGAGCCAGGTGGCGTTTTCTTGGGCACAAAACAGCTGCGTTACTAAGAGGTAGCCTGAGTTGGGAGAAGCCTTGGTAACCTCCCTGTGAGTGCCACTGCCTTCCTAGTTCACAGGCTGCTGTTCCAGCCTAGGGCAGCTGGTTCCGTCTCCAAACAGCTCTAAGTGATGTAAGATTTTTGGTGCATGCATGCTCAGTTGTGTCCGACTCTTTTGCGACCCCGTGGATGGTAACCTGTCAGGCTCCTCTGTCCATGGGATTTCCCAGGCAAGGCTACTGGAGCAGGTCGCCATTTCCTCCTCCAGGGGATTTTCCTGATCCAGGGATCGAACCTGCGTCTCTTGCATCTTCTGCATTGGCAGGCGGATTCTTTACCACTGAACCATCTGGGGAGCCTGAGGTTTTTGGTATTCTGAGCCAAATTCTGCTGCTCTGAAACTGCCCCTGGTGGGTTCAGCTCTGCCCTCTGTTCCAGGATGACCCCTCAGAGGCCTGAGGACAGCAGATACATGCACTCTAGCTCCAGGTTCTGCTGGCTGTGGTCCCCAGACTCCTTCCTGTCCTGGCCACTTTCAGCGGGACAGAGCCTGTCCCCGTCCCTCCCCAGCACTGGACCCTGAACCAGGGACCACACTGCAGGGGAGGTCTTAGTCACACAGACTAAAGGAAGACTGAGCATTCGCAACCTCGCCCCCACATATACCAACATACATGTAACAGTCGCCGTAGCCTACAACAGCATCAGCTTTAGGTGGCCACGATGGCTGACACTCTTGGCTCATGACGGCCTCACACCCAAAGCCTTATTCTGAAAGCGCAGTCAAGCACAGGCCCTAATAGCGGCCTTGATTCTAACATGATTCTGTCTCCCAGACCTTCGGCCCAGGCAGATCTCCTCATGCTGCACTGACTGGGATAGGACAGTTAAGGTACCTCACAAGAATCTAGTCCATAACTGAATGAATGCAATACTGAATTATTTTGTTGTTCAGGGAAGGTATCTGTGTGGCTGTAGACAGGGAAGCCTCACTGTGTAAAGTGAAAGTAAAAATGTAGTCGCTCAGTTGTGTCTGACTCTTTGGAACCCCACAGACTGTAGCCCGCCAGGCTCCTCTGTTCACGGGATTCTCCAAGGCAAGAATACTGGAGTGGGTTGCCATTTCCTTCACCGGGGGATCTTCACAACCCAGGGACTAAACCCAGGTCTCCCACATTACAGGCAGATTCTTTACCATCTGAGTCACTAGGGAATCCTTCATTGTGTAAGTGGGATCTAAATTTTCCCTAAAGGATAAAACATATTCAGAAAGAGGGCCTGGAAAAGAAAAACAAGGCAGGTGGGGAGAACGGAAGGAGGAATTCCATTCTCTGTCCATCCCTTCAGCAGTGAGTGACCACCTCCTCACTGCCTGGCCTGGGGCAGGCAAGTGAAGATGCACTAACATGCCACAGTCCTCAAAGAGCTCCCTCACAGTTCAAATCTAAGAAGTCACAGATGCTGTAGGCCTCGCAGGTCGGGGCCCCCCAGGTCTGAGGATGTGGAACTGTGCTGATCCGGGCACCTCTGGATGGGAGAGCAGGGGCAGGGCAGGCCCCTGAGCCCTCCAGGTCCCAGGACCAGCTGACGGGGCCACCTCCTTCCTGAGCACCTGCCCTCTGCTAGGGGCTGTAGTGCATCAGGGATTCAGACATGTGCTGGCTGCCTCACAGAGGTCAAGTCCACCCGAAGGTGGGGTTAAATGACAAAGCGTAGGCTTACTGAAAACTCATCCGTGGTGCCCACGGTCTGCAGGAGAAGACGCAGCCCTTCTGCCTAATACCCTCTGTGACCAGACCCAGCTGACCTCCCATCCTTGACTCCTGTCACTACTCAGTGGCCGTTCCCTGCCCCTCATTTCCCCTGGAGCCTAAACTACCTGCAGGTGCAAAAGGTATTCTGCAGGGCTGTGCCCTTCTGTCCTAGTGTCCAGAAGTTCCTCCCCAACTCGTCTGGCAGCTGAACTCCTACCCATCCTTTCAACGCCAAACACAAGCATCATCTTAGACACCCTTCTTGCCCCCACCCCTTCCACCGACAGAGATAACTGTGTTTCCTTTGTTCTTATACCACATCCTGTATAGAATCATACAACAGTATCATTTTCTACTTGGTTGTCAACCTTGCATATTCACGGGAAGGACTGATGCTGAAGCTGATGCTCCACTGCTTTGGCCACCTGACGCAAAAAGCTGACTCACTGGAAAAGACCCTGATGCTGGGAAAGACTGAGGACAGGAGGAGAAGGGGACAACAGAGGATGAGATGGTTGGATGGCATTACTGACTCAATGGACTTGAGCAGACTCTGGGAGATAGTAAAGGACAGGGAAGCCTGGCGTGCTGCAGTCCATGGGGCCGCAAAGAATTGGACACGACTGAGCACCTGAACAAAAACAACAATCTGTCTTCCCTACTAGTTTTTAGCTCCTTAGGGGTAGAACTCCTGTCATGTTTATTTCCTGTATTCCTGGTACCAGGCCATAGTAGCTGCTCAGCCAGTAAATGACTGAATGACTGAAGTTCTAAGAGAGGTGAGGGCTAGTATGGCCAGGAATGGCTTTGCGGACAAGGTGGTACTAAAAAGGGTCTTTGGAAAATAGGAAAGAGTGTGATATGTAAAGAAGGAGAAGGGGAGAGACTCACCAAGATATCACTGGAGCAGGACAAAGGTTGGAAAAGGTTGAAAAAGAAGAGAGACCTACTATGTATCAAACATCTTCTGTGGGTCCACAACTGTGCTGGGAACTTCACAGACATTCTCTCATTTAATCTTGACAATAACCTTATTATTCTTATTTTTCAGCTGAGAAGTTATATGGCTTTCTTATGGTCACACACTAGTAAATGATAGAAAAGAAGGGATTTCTGCCATTTTGACTTAAAGCCCATGTCCCTCTGTCTTCACCATGCTAATGGAAAGGCCTTTGCCCTACAACTCTCACTCATACAAACATCATCTGGTAATGGCTTTGATATAAAGACAGTAGAGGTTTTTCTGGCTCCTTTACTGAGCCCCATGTCACCACTTCCACCACAAGATACCGAGGAGGCTGTGATTCTGCGCCTCTTCAAGAACTCCTGGAGCTCCACAAGCAGACTCCTCATGTCGGCTCTCCTCTATCTCCCCTTTAAGGTCAGATCCTCAGTGATGGGAAAGTCTTTGTCCATCTGTGCAACTACATCGAGCCCTGGGAGAACCTGTCCTTTCTGCAGAGAGAAAGTCTGAATCACCACTACCATCTGAACTGTGGCTGCCAAGTAAGGACTGTTCGTTTCCAAGGTCTTCGGGAGTGGGTGAAGGGCCATGCAGCCTCATCCTTCGTGTATTCCTTCCTTCCCGCGCATGTGACCTATTCACTTGCTGTACTAGAGGTTTGTGATGGATCAGGCATCATTCAAAGTTGGGGGTGGGAAAGCAACAAGGCCCGTAGTCCCTGATCTCAAGGTACTTGCATTCTGGCTGAGAAGGCAGCCATCATATAAGACAGACTAGGATAATACACTACCACTTAAAGAGAGTCTACTCTTTTTGTCAGGACCTGTAATGGCTAATTTATTTAAGATATTTAGTCTTTAAAACAAATTTATGAAGAGTGAAGATTTCCATTTTATGGTGAAGAAATTCATGCTGCAGGAAGTGAAGTGGCTTGGCTAGGCCAGCGTAGAGTAAGGGCTTTGGGGCTTTTTGGGAGGCAGCACTGTATGTGGAGACTACAGGGGAAAGATAACTACGGGGGAAATTTGGAGACTTGGAAGGACCTTATCAGCCAGGGGGCATCTGAGCTAGGCTGTAAGAACATGCAGGAGTCTGAAAGGCAAGAACAGAAAAAGGACACCCTACTCACTTGGATGTTGTGTGGCTATGGCTCTAGATCACCACCTGCTATATGGTGCCCTGCACCATCTCGGCTCCCAACGAGTGCCTCTGGACAGACTGGCTATTGGAACGGAAGCTCTACGGGTACCAGGCCCAGCATTATGTCTGCATGAAGCATGCTGATGGCACCTGTAGCTGGTACCAGGGACGCTTGCCCCTCAGGAAGGAGTTTGTTGATATCATCCAGCCCTAGGAGGGATCGCCACAACCCTTTGAGAGTCCTGAAGACCAAGCCCTTTTCCTTCCTGGCAGGGCGCTGGCTGTCCCCACCTGCTTCATGGATGCCAGACAAGAGGAAGTATCAGGTGGACGGTGTGGCCAGCATGAGGGCAGGGATGGGGCGTGTGGCAGCTTGTGTCTGGGACCGCAGTCCAGAACACGTTGGGCCAAGGGCTAGGGAAAGTAGCAAGACTTTTCTCTCCCACCCTCAGCTCTTCATCCTTGCCTCCGAACCTTCTAGTTGAGCTGGTATTTGTTACTGACTCTGGCTTAGTTTCTGTTTTCAAAGCTAGGACTATTCCTTTTTCTCCCCAGATAAATGTGTTTTCTTTTTATCTTAACTGATCTGACAGGGGAGAAATGATGACTATTTTACATATGAGATGGGGTGGCCTTGTGCGATATAAGACCAGAAGGTGGGTGACAGTATCATAAACAGGCTGACTTAGAGAAATGAAAAGAACAACATCCTCTGGCTGTGTTTCATCTACTCCTCCAGTCTCAACTCATTCTGATCCTCTGATACGCTTTCACCTGTTTAGGGGAGTGACAAAGGGGGACAAGGAGTCATTCAGTGTGAAGCCTACAATGTAATCCCCTCTATACCATTCTTGGCACAGGGCCTGGCCCAGTTAGCAAGACAAGAATAGACTTGGGTATTGTCTCTCCAGGTTGACTATACTTAATGTCTTTAACTGCTGTCCAAAAGGCTTCTCCTCTGTCTGCTTTAGAAAGTCCTTCTCTACTAGATTACTAATGTTTTCATTACTACTTCAAAACCTTTCTTAAGCTTAAAAAAAAAAAAAAAAGGCTTTCTCTTATAGAGTTGAAATTCCCCCTCAGCTTTTGAAACCTCACAGAGATGCTGGTGGTGGGGGGTGGGTGTCCTCTCTTGAGGGCACATTTTAGGCTCGAGGACAGGATAAAAAGGGCCCCTGGGGGAAAGGACGGTAGGTGAGGAATACACTTGGCAAGTGTTACAGCTCTTCCAGTGGTCAGCCCGCTCCGAGAACCACCGCCCCCGCCCCCGCCTCCCGCTCAGTCCTCCTGGACACCCCGAAGTCCACAGGCACAGCCGCTGAGGGCTCCTCTGCCTCTCAAGCCTTCCTGACTGGTCCTGATGAGGGTCTTAAGGATTCATCAGGGGCAAGTGCTTAAAGTTCCAGGGCCTCTCCCAGGGAAGCTCTGGCAAAGATGGAGAAGGTAGTTCTTCCCAAGGCCCCAAGGTTCTATACAGCTTGCTGATAAGCTGAGGCATGCACAAAACACCAGAAGAAGGTTCCACAGAAATGGTGCAAACGGAGATTCCTTCTGGAGATCTCTGTCCTGGAGCGAAAGACTTGGAAAGCTAAGGCAGAGAGTCTCCACTGGTGGGTTAAGTAGGCTTACCCACTGACCATGCAGGCCTGGGGCAGAGAACGTGGGGCCAGAGAAGAATGGGGGAAAACATTAGAGGCAGCCTCTGTACCAACCGTCTATCCCATCGTTCTGCTCCTTCTGCTATCCTGTATGGCCTCAGAGAAGGCAGAGTGAAACCCTTGTCTTATCTGAATTTTGAGGAAGTGTCTGGTGAATAATATCAGGAACAATAGCTTACGTCTGAGGAGCACTCCACACTCCTCACAGACTATTTGCTCAAAGAATCTCACTGAAATCATGCAAGTGCCATATTAGCTATCCTGGCCAGGGATCGTTAAGCCCACTCTCTTTTCGGATTGGGATGCTGACACGTGGTGAGGGAACATAACCGTCTGTGACTTGTGGCTAGAATCACAAGCAGCAGGATCTTCTGACTATTGATCCATCTAGGTTGTTACTCTCAGCTTTTGATAAAATGCCCCTGTTTCTACTCTTTCCTATTCTGTCTCCAAGTTTTGGAGACAGAGGGCTGTCAGCTAAAACCCAGCCACTGTGGCCTCACCAAGCAGGTCTGCAGTTCAACCTCAATAGAGTCTCTGGGGTTGAGAGGCTGAGGCCCTCCTCAGAGGCCCACACGGCTAAGCTCAGAGTGCAGACAGCAGAGACTGATGCCCCCTCTCAGTCACCTACCATTTCTTTGTGGTTGGGGTAGTAAGTCTGCTCAATGAGCGGGAACTTTTCTCCTCCCAGTGTCTTGTAGATGGCCACCAGCTGGGCAAACTGCAAAAGAGAAGCAAAGGTTTCAGTTTACCCAGACAGCTTCTGGAACAGACAAAATGGCAATCCACTGAACAAATATTTATTGAGCATCTGCTCCACTGAGGGCTTTGTACAAAGTGCTCTGAGGATATAAAAGAGGTGTCCCACCCTCTATTCTCCAGGAACATATGCTTCTGTTGGGGAAGGGAGAGAGTGAGGTAGTATTCATTCAGTGCCTACTCAGTGTTAATGATATTTCATTTAATCCTCATATCAAACTGATGAGCTAGGGTTCTTTATCATCCTCATTTTACATATGAGGCTCAGAAAGGGTAGGTGACTGCCTAAAGCCACAGTGCTGCAAAAAAAGGGACAGCTGGGGTTGAAATTTTGGTCTCTGTAACTCTAAACACCATCATCCCTAGAGATGGAAAGTGATAAAGATGGATGGGGGAACAAGGGGCCCAGTCTTGGAAATTCAAATGCCAAGGAAAAGAAAGGGAGGATGGAATCATGGAATGCAGCAAAGACAGACCCCGTCTTCTGGACTTACTGCTCATCTAAGAACTGAACTCACTGGACCCTTCACCTATGAAAAGCCAGAACAGCTCCAGGGAAAAGGGGTGAAGCGCACATACTTAAACGTCAGGGTCTGCCTTTGGTGAACATGTAGCATCCCTGGTGTCCCCTGCCCACCCCCCTACTTTATAAGTGGAGAAACTGAGGCCCAGAGAGGTTGCTCACTCAAGGTCACACAGCAGTTGAGCCAGATTCATAGCCAGACCCCTTTAGTCCTAACCCGTAACTCTTCCTTCTCCTTCATGTAGCTGCCTTTCAGGCTCTAAAGAGACCGTGCTCTTCCCACAGGAAACTTTCCAGTTCAATCCGTTCACACTCATTCCCCACCTCCACACACACCCACCCCAGAGCACTGGCAGCGGCTGTGATCCAGCGTCTTCTCTCTCGTGCTACTGGGTTCACGCTCTAAGCCACTGATACCTGGAACTGCTGGAAGGAAGAGTTGCCAGATCAAACCGACCTTCTGTTTACTAAAGAAGGGAAAGAGAACATTTTTCAAAAGCCCAGTTTCTGTTTTCAATCAGTGATGTTAGCACGTGTGTTGGTACAGGGAGACAATAAAAGCCAGAGCTGGGTTGTTAGAAAACCAGAGTCTTCTGATTCTTCTTGTTCTGCCTTGAACTTGCTAGGTGTCCTTGGGCAAATGATGTCTCCTCTCCAGGCCTCATTTTCTTCATGTATAAAATAGACAACGGAATTTGATCAGTTCTTCAAACTTTTTAACCACACCAAAAAAAAATCCTCCTAAACTCCATGATGAGACTGCTGTTTCGTGATCATTGGCTGTGGTCCTTTTGTGAGTAGAGACAGAATCTGTTATTTTTGAAATGCTGAGAAACATTGGAGTTTCTGGGTCACTTTCCTCCGTGACACGCAGTTGGTGGCTCTAGATCTCAAGGCCTCCTCCGGGGCTGCAAGTATGACTGATGGACCCCCAAGGCCCTAAGATTTTATTATCGGAAGAGACTTCAGAGAGTCTCTAGACCAGACACCTCATCTTACAGATGAGGAGAGCAAGGCCAGAGCAGCAAAGGGGAGCACGGGCCGCCGCCTCGTGCCTGGAGTCGGGGCGCGCTGGGACGGGGCCCAGGGCCCTCCCCGCCCGGTGGTGCTCGTCACTGTGCCCGCCGCCATGCTGGTGTTCTCTGGTCCTCCCACACCCTCTGACTGCCAGGACCACCCCTCAGCCCTCTCTTGCGTTCTCCAGCTCCCCCCGCTACCTCATCTGACCTTCAGGTCCCGGCTGGCCACTTGGAATGACTGGACTCCTTCTCGGCGTCTGGATACCTGCCTGAGCTCCTGAGGCCCTGCAGCCTCCCCAGCCAGCTGATGCCAGCTCTGCCTCACAACCTCTGTCCTGCTGCAGCCCACGCCCTGGCACAGCACCAAGGCATGTGGGGCCCTATCTTCCCAGCATGTGGGAGAGTTACACAGACACCACGCTGATGCCAAGAAGGCCCCCGGCAGGCTCCCAGAGTCCTGGCACAGTCAAGACTAAGATGGCAGCCAGTTCCCATGCACTAGCTGGGTCCCTGGGGGCTCACTCCTTCTCCTCCACCTTCTGTAGTCCCTTCTGCTCAGAGCACTAGGCTTGGCATCTAACTCCTGCCTCCTTGGAAACTCGGACTCAGTCACAAGCATACAGTCACCAATTAAACAAAAGTAATATCTGATAAGGGTTATTTCCTCTCCACAGAGACAAAAGAATACATTTGGAGCTGGGGGTGGTATTGGCAATGAATAGGAAGATAATGCTCAGCATAACCATTTATCCAATGTATCAGGAAAGATTTCTCAGATGAAATGGGATTTCAAGATCAGTCTGAATTTAATATGTTACCCTGATCCCTCCTGGAAATAAAGTGCTTCAATTACACTCTTGAGCATTTGCCTCTAAAAAAACCCCACATAGAGTGACGGGATTTTCACATAAATCTGCAGCAGCATGGCAGGCAGCACTCTTGCTCTCCCTGGAATGCTACTTTCACCGACAGGTCTTACTTCTGCTTCCAAACTCCCCGTGTGCCTGCCGTGGGCAATCTATGAAATAGCGGATGTGCTCAGAGACAAGGTGGAACCTTCCCAGCATGGCTGAGGCCTCTCCTCATGCCAGGAGCAGCCATAGTAGAGAAATTTAGAAAACACAGACCAAAGTCATCATCTCAGAGGGAAGTCCCCTTCACAGTCACCAGATTTGTTCATCCCCATGAACAGGCAAAGAACAATATATAAAATGCCATTAGTGTGGCAGCTGCTTAGTGAAAATGAAGGGAGAACTTGGTGTGTGGCCAGGGAGCCCTGCTGTTCCCCTGCGATGCCAACGGCAATGTGCTGGGACTGTGAACGGGTGAGAATGTGAACCCTCACCAGATCCCAGATCCCAGGAGGGGCAAAGGCCCAGCCCAGGCTCTCTGACCCGCCCTTCCCTGGCCGCCGGCACAGTTCTGGAACATGCAGCACGGAATAAGTTTCTTTCAGATCCCAACACTGGGGGCTGTGACACCAGGCTGGCAGACTGGTGGCAGGTACTGTGATTACTCATTTCATCCTCACGCTCAGTTGCTCAGTCGCGTCTGACTCTTTGAGACCCCGTGGACTATAACCCACCAGGCGCCTCTGTCCATGGGATTTTCCAGGCAAGGATACTAGAGTGGGTTGCCATTTCCTTCTCTAGGGGATCTTCCCAACCAGGGATCAAACCTGCATCTCCTGCATTGGCAGGCAGATTCTTCTATCACGGAGCCACTGGGGAAGCCTCCACTCCTAGTTTACAGACAAAGAAACCAGGGCACAGACTGGTTTAGTCAGGAGGCTGATTAGTGAGATTGCCCAGAAAAAGAGCTGATACTAGCAGAACCACCCTGTGTGGCTATGAGGGAGCCAAATTCTAGCAAGTATTGAAGGGGTGAGGGAGGAAAGGGCTAGGGCATGAGTGCAGCGCGGAAGGCCATGTGACTAAGGGGAAGCTTGTTGAAGGCCTCATATGCGCTCTCCTGTGATCAGCAACCTATTCAAATAACACAACTCCTGCAGCTGGTTTCTGCAGAACTCTCGGACTCCAAGCCCTCAGGCCAGACAGAGGGAAAGGCTGAGCAAGGGGCCGCTACAGCAGCTCCCAGATCTTTCGACTCCTTGCTCGCCGGTCTTCCTCTCACACTGCCAGGTCTCCCCGGCTTCCAAGGAAACAGGAAGACTGAGTTCAGGTGAAAGAGTAGAGGTGATGGGTCCTTTTGGTTAAAAAAAGAAAATACCCCCGCTCCAGCTCCCTGAGTGGGAGAAGCCTGGGGTCTGCGAACTCCGCAATCAGCCACCAGTGCCATGACCCTTGGCAAGCCAGTGTGTGAGAGCTGAAATAACCCTTGAAAAACAAGAAGAGAAGGATGTGACTAGGGGCAGGTGTTTCCTTCTGAGAGGAGCAGCCTGGAGCGCCAGAGTCCTAGGAGCTGGATCTCCTCGGCGGTCAGAGGGGAAGCTGGAGCAGCCTAGAACCATCTCAGGCCGCTTCCTCTCCCAGCTGCACTCTTCTCTCTGCTCAGATGCTTCCACTGCCTCCAAGATTTCCAGACTAGCCCAGGAAGAGACCACCAGACCAGCTTCTTCCTCACATAGTAACCCCGCCTATGCGAGGGATGGTGTCAGAAACTTTGGTGAGTTACTGAATCCTCTCTGGGTCTCATTTCTCTGTAAAAAGTGTTAATAATGATAATAATAACACCTTCCTTGTAAAGCTATTATGAGGGTTAAATGAAGTTCATGTAGGAAAATCTCCGAAGCTGGCATCACAGAGTAAGTGGTCTTATGCTCCTCACCTTCTTTCAGAAAATGGTCACATCTCTGCCATGAAGGAGCGAGAGCCAATTATCTCAGAGGGCACGTCCAGAGCATAAAAGTGTCTGATTTGGTACGTGTGTGGGTGAATCTCATTTGAAGGTTGCTGAGACACTTGGTAGGACTCTGACACTAACATCCCTCTGAGGTGCACCATCCCCTTGGTCCCCGGTGGCCTCAGGCCTTTCCAAGGGTTAGATCTTTCGGAGGCAAGAAGTAGGTGTTTTTATTGCTATATCTGATGGCTGCAGACCTGGAGGGGCTCCTTCACAGAATCTCTGTGTGACTCTGCTGTGAGGCCAAAGGTCCCTTCTGCAGCAGAGGCAGCCCAGCCCGTGACAACAAAGTCCTACTGTGAGAGCCGGCCCCACCCCGTGCCCCAGCTGAAGCTCCTCCCACACCCTCTCCGCTGGCCCCTCACGGTGCCTGGATCAACAGAGGTCCTTCTGGGGACCCAGAGTCAGAGGATCAGGATGCTGCCCTTCTACCTGAGGGAAGGGGGACTCACTCACCACCCATGGCTTGTCACAGAAGTTGTAAATGGACTCCAGGGAGTTGATGCTGGGGAGGCCTGCGTACTGCATGCCAATGATCAGGTGGCGAAAGTCCTCATTCTCTGCCATGCCGAACGCATGCTGCCGGATGAGCACAAAGTCTGGCCGGAAGGACCTGGAAAGAATGTGGAAGCAAGTCTGCCACCAACCAGAACCTCAGGACACATATCCTCTTGTCTCCCGTCTCCAAAGCCCAAGACAGGGAAGGGGTTACCTGAGCCAAGACCCTCATTTTGTTATGACTGTTCTCTTATGGACTAGGAAATGCGGTATTATATAGGCACTTCTCAGAGGAGATTTGAACAGATTTCTGAAATTCTTTTCCTCTGGAAAAGACCCTGATGCTGTGAAAGACTGAGTGTGGGAGGAGGAGAGGGTGACAGAGGATGAAATGGTTGGATGCCATCACTGACTCAAAGGACATGAGTTTGAGCAAACTCCGGGAAATGGTGAAGGACAGGTGAGCCTGGCGTGCTGCGGTCCATGGGGTCACAAAGAGTCGGACATGACGGAGCGACTGAACAATTCCTCTGGGTTAAGCACTGTCTTTTTCTAAGGTGCAGCAGCTGTCGGGGAGGAGGGAAGAAACACTTTTAGACTGCCACACCTTAAGTCAACAAGGATTTTCCGTGTCCCTGTGGATGAGAGTGGAAGCTCTTGCGGCTCTGGAGTTGGCACCCTGAGAGGGTTCCAGCAGACTCTGAAGACACCACACGTGGCTGACTTCACTGCCCTGCTCCAAAGACCCCTGACCTCAGCGTCCTGCTATGACTCCTCAAGCTGCTCCTTAAAGATGCCGGGCCCCTAGCAGCTCCCCAGGTGAACCAGGGTCCAGGCTGGCTGAGAACAGATGCCAGACACCCCAGTGTTATTCCTCCAAAGCAGATTTAGGGAGGGGCACGAATGTTTCCACAGAGCTGAGGTTGAGCAACTGGCTACAGGAAGCTGAGAGTACAGTGTGTTCCCGGGCACGGGAAGGCTCCCTGTGTTTCACCTCCAGACAGCAGAGCTCCATGGGATCAGGGCCCCGACTTCATGCTCTGATTCCTGAGGAACCTCACCTTCCCAGACAGCCAGTTCTGCAGCAGCATCTCCCCTCAAGGCTCCAGGCCTTGGCCATTTCACACATGTACAGTGATGGACCTGGTTCTCTGCCCGGGGACCCACCCAATTTCCGCCTACTGCTCCAGCCCCACCTGGGCTCAGAGATCAGTCTACCAAAGTAGAGGTGGGAGGACCCCTCCTCAGTCACTCAGGAGAGTGAGCATCAAGTCAGCTGGTGTGTGCTCCGACCTCGCGCCCAAGTTCTGGGAAACTGGCTCCGTCTATACGCCTGAGACCAAGCCTTACATCCCGGTCACCGAACCTGAGCTCCAGGCTTGCAGTCAGCCCCGGGTGCCCACAGTGGCGACCGGGAGAGGCCCGCCTTGTTTTCGCCACTTCCCTCCCAGCACCCTGATGTGGGCCCCCTGGTTGCCACGGATCCCTATGACCTACTCCATTTGCAGCGGGGGGAGTCTGCCATTGTCTCTAGCAGGAGCTTCCTGAGTGCTCCCCGACCAAGGGTGGGCAGCTCTTCTCTGTCCTCCTCAGTCTCCAGGATGGATGAGCTCACACTCCCTGACATTTGGCTCCAGACACCTGAGTTCTGCCTTCCCTGTCATGGACCAGGTCCTGTTGGACGCTGGCGGCCTTGGGGTCAGGGCAGTGCAGGTTGAAAAAGGGAAAAGGGTGAAGTGAAGGCTCTTCCTGGAGCAAGACCCTGATGCCTGGAACCCTGAAGCCATGCTGAGTACTGGGAAAGAATAACAATGTGGAAACCATGCTCCCTCATCTGGAATCTTCATCACCTCCCACAGAGAATTGTATCACAATCGATGACGTCTACATGTCACCTAGCACCCCACCTGCAGTGTAAGTGCTTTGTAATTGAATTTTCTTCCACTCACACTGTCCCTTCTGACCCAGGCTTTCTTATCGGACTGAGGAGCTCCCAGAAATCTGGAGGGCAGAAGAACACTGGAAGGGTGTTAGGAGAACTCACAGAGTACACAGGCTCTGCTGCCAACTCACTGAGTGAATGGAAGCAAATCCATGGGTAATGGGAGGCTGGTTTTTAAACTCCCCCCAGCTCTTTTCTTTTAAGGCAATGGAATTGTGTTTTCCAGGGGAAATACACTGAGAGATAAAAGTCCAGAGCTGCACTGGCTGAGGTGGGGCCAGAGTCCTGCAACACCTCTGACAGGAATCATCCAGTGGCTGCAAAGTGAGCTCTGAGCCCACAGAGCTTCCTTCACCAAGGAACTAAGACATCTCCAAGGGCCAGAGCCAGCTTTCTCTGCCTCCTTCCACCACCGCCACACAACACATGTCAACAAGGTCTGTACACTACACATGGCACGCCAGAGACGGTGGCAGTGACCCCGAGGACAGAAAGGACCTTACCGGACCACCTTTGTGCCATTCCGGAGCACCTGCATATCCACGGCGTAGGTACCATCTGCATGGGCCACCAGGTTGAGCTCTGAAAATTCCGCCTGGGAAATAACAGGAGGGGATTAAGAGCGTGGATTTCACCTTATGTGTTTCTTACTATGATAGAACATAACTAAATAAAATCAGCAGTAGGGGAGTAAGCCCCACAGCCCTGACTCTGAGAGGCACCCCCATAAAGCAGCAGCAGCAGCATCTTTTCCAGCAAACATGTATTTACAGTTTGCAAAGCATTTTCCCAAACTGATCCCATCTATTCTCATAGACACTCTGTGAGGCAGGAGGGGCAGAAATAATTATCCTTATTTGCCAAAGGAGCAGTTAAGTGACTTTTCTGGACAAACAAAGCTTACTGTTGCCCTAGATGGGAACAAAACTCAGGGCTTCTGACTCCCCACCCAGCATCTTTTGTGCTGCCTCTCTGCAGAGCAGGAATGCAAACTGAGGGAAACATGCCCTTTCTCAGTCTCAACATAAAAGCACTAAGTTTTCATTTAGGAAATCGGGTTTTGGTGCTGCTCTGGCCCAATGAGATGCATAAGATGTTCAGGCAAGTTACTTATTCTCTCTGGGTGGACAGTTTCTCCCATCTATAAGATGGAAATAATTTTTATCAACCTTGCCTAACAAGTTATTCTAAGAACTGAATGCAGCAATGGATAGAAACAGTAAATCTGTAAATCCCAGCACACTGTGTAAGGAATGATGAGTAGTTTCTATCGTTACATAGAAAATATATGCTCTGTGTAAAGTGGACATCCCCCCTCCCCCCGACTCAAATGGACCTAATCTCTTATTCATCATGGAGCAAAGGGTACGGGAAGATAAAAACTGAGCCTTTCAGGACTTCAGTGCGTTAAACCCAGGAGGTGTTCTTTGCTAAGTTCTCTCTGAAGTGCAGCCTTAGGCACAGAGGAGGCCTCACTGGAGGCTGCACACCTGAGTGGCAGACATGTATCTACCGAGCAAGACCTTGCGACTACAGTATGGAGGTGTGGCCGTGTCCTCGGAAGACATTCCTCTACAGTGTTCCTCAGCCCAAGGACCCTGCACCCCCAGAGGCCCTGAGAGCTACACTGCTTGCCTCCCTACAGACCCCAGAGCCATGAAGAGAACTCAGGGGAGTTGAAAGACGCAGCCTTCAAGACCAGGTCTCATAGAGAGAGACGTCCTGGAAAGGGTAGGGGGAGGAGGTAGAGAGCCTAGAAGCTAGTGATGGACCCTGATCTTTCCACTTGGCAGCACCAGATGGTTCACTCCAGAGTGTCAAGAGGGTCCCACAATGATGCAGGTGCAATCCTGGGCTCCAGGGTGGTTACCTGTTCCACTTTGATATCATAATCTCCAAGGACTTTTTTGCCCCGAAAGCACTTGGCCCTGGAAAAAAAGAAAAAAAAACAAAAACCCACACCTATTAGTTTTGTACAGGTGTTTGTCATCAGAAATTCTCTCTCACAAAGATGAGGAGGACGACGGCACACAGAATCCCAGAATGAGAGTCAAGAGACCTGGGTAAGTGTTAGACCTTAGTCTGCTACCAGATCACCATGAGAGCCTCGGGCAAACATGGCCTTTCTTCTATAAAATAGACCAAAAGGCCTTTCACTCCTAGGCTTTGTGCTTTTATGAAAACAGCTGCTGTCATGTTTTGGCTACAAAAGAATCCAGAAGTAGGATTTCCCTGATGTGACTCCTGCTAAAAACTGGGTCAATTTATACCTCCCTGTAGTTCCCTTATCTTTCCCCATCCTGCGTTTCACTCTGGTTTTCTAGCTGCTTTCCGCCCTTGGAATTTTAGCTTCTGAAGAAACTAAAACTATTTTACCGCGTCATACCCATACTTCCAGAAAGGATTTGAGGCAATTGATAATTTAAAAAGCCAATATAACCAACAAAACAAGGATGAAAGGACAGTCAATGAATGAAGAGAGTTAATTATACCAGAAAAATATGGGGGGCGGAGGGTGGGGGGGCGGCGGTGGCAGGAGAGGCTTAGGGAAACTACTATAATGGAATACAAAACCTCTCCTGTGTTTCAGAGCAGTTAAGGGAATGAGTCAAGCCTGGATAGACCGTACTTATTAGCTTCCCATTTTGTCACAAGCCGGAGGAACCTCACAGTACAGCTGCTGGTAAGGGGACGGTGTTTGTGCTTGTATTTATAGCCAGTGCTACTTTGCCCTTCACCTACCCTTCCTCTCATGAGAGTTTCTTGTCTGACTTTTTAGGCTGCTTCTCCATCTGTCAAAAGGGCCTTTCCACATGGTACCTAGGTTGGCCTTGCTTTCCCAGTGCTTGAAATTTCAAATCAGCATGTCTCACTGGAGGTTTTCTAAAGTCCCTCTCCAAAACAAAGGGATAAACTAACATTTACTGGGACTCATATTCTAGGAATTATGTGTTAGTTGCTTTCAAGAACATCTCATTTAACTCTCATAACTACTTATGAGATGGGGAGAAGGGCACTCATTTTTGAGATGGGGAAACCGAGACTCAGAGGGAAAAGTGGCATATTCAAGGTCATAATAGCAAGTGAGTGACAGAAGCAATAATTGCGCCCTAGTCTGAGCCCAGAGTTGTCGGCTCTGCATAGCACTGTCTCCCTCATTCTTGCCATCTTCATTCCCACCATGACGAAAACTGACTTGATGTGTATGCTATGTCACAGGTTTCTTGTCCCATTTTCCTTCCTCCACTGAAAAGGCGCTTGATGTTGTGAGCACTAGCTCCATTTCAAATACTTCCCGCCCTAGCTCCTGTGAACTGCCCAGGATGGGGCCAGGCTATTTCCTTTCCTCTCTGGTCCTGGAACAGTCTGTTCCAGGAAGTTGTCATTTGTCCTGTCCAAGTCCCGGGCTACCCTCAAATTGCTCCTCAGAGGCACTCAGCCATCCTAGAGCTGGATCACCAAAGTTCATCTCCCTGCCTCTGTCCCAGTTCCTTACTGTGCTTCATCAGCTTGCTTCCAGAGTCCTGTTCAGCATTCATAACTCAGCAAGCCCCTCAGGCAAAGGGCATGTAGCACATCCAGTCCCTTTCATGGTTCCATCTTATTTGTGGCTTTAAGTAATAGTCTACGCACTGCACTGTCACTGCTCTGGGGATCTTGTGGACTCCATAGGTCTTTCAACTCTAAACAGAAGGAACTGGAATAAAATGATCCCATGAGGTTTCTCGCTTGTGTTGGTGAGGTGTGTCTACCTTGCTGCCAGCAATGCTTTCCTGATGCTTCCTCCCAGCTTCCTGTCTCTAAATACCTGCCACCCCAGTCTTAATCAGTGGTGGGAGAACGGTCTCAGACCTGCTTGTCTCAGTTGGTCGTTTCCATTTACTAGTAAAAGACTGGTTAATTATAACAATGCATTGTAAACCCTTCAGCAGGAAAGGAGAATTAAATGTTTTGTGGACCATTTGTTTTATGTGTGGCAGTTTTAAGTTATTAGTTTTTAAAAACCAGTACTTTTAAATGGAAACAACTTGAAAAAAAATCGCTCACAGAATTTGAGATCCATTTAAAAAAAAAAAAAGCTTAATGAGAAAAGAGGTCTCCTTCCGTGAGGTATGTCCCAGAGGCATCAACAACAACCTTTCATTTGGTATGATGTCTTGCATTTTCAAAGCACGTCTCTTGCCTTATTTGTTCCTTACAACTCTGTGAAGTGGCCAGGATAGACTGTGCTGTCCATTTGACTAATGGGGAAAGAAAGCCACAGCAGCTAAATAATATGCTCGAAATCAAAGAGAAGTTCATAGGAGTTAAGCCTAATGCTAGGAGTTTATATCTAGGCACTTGGACTCTGCCAAGTTTTTTAATTCACTCATTTATTTTGTGGGTTTTGAACACTGATACTGAAGTATAATTATAGATTCTGGCTGTGTTTATCTGCCACTTCCTGTACCTGCCCGTTGACCAAGTTGGCTAATGACCCTGTTTTCATGCCTCCTCCCCACCCCCACCTCTCCAATGATCTTAATGTCTTTTCCTGAAGGAAATTTGCCCTGTTGGAAATTTTGGTTTGTGTTTCCTGGCTCCAGGTCACTGACCTCTCCTGGCTGTGCCACGTCCTATAGAACAGGAGCCAAGGTGGCAGGCAACGGAGTGCAGAGCCTTCTTGAGAATGACCACATTCTCCCAGGTGTCTTCATGGAAAATTTTTTGTAATTTACAAACAAGTGACAGAATTACTTTCTGATCCTAAGAGAGCACTGTTAGGAAGCAGTGTTGCTAGTTCGGGTGGGAATCTTAGCTGTACACTTTTTTGGTTCTGTGACTTCTGGCAAGTTTCTTAAATGAGGGAAAAAAAAATGTCAGATGGCTAAACCAAAAACTCTATCTATTTTCAAAAGAACTTAAAAGTATAAGATGAAAAATACATTTTCCCCCTCCTGTTCCCCTTATCACACATACCCCTCATCACCCGTTACAAGTATATCCTTCCAGTGTGGGGAAAATGTGTGCATATACCTGCCTTCATATATGCTTCAAACATGCACATGGCATCATGCTATATACATTCTTCTTTCTTGCCCCATAATTTTTTTATTGCACTTAAAAATCTTAGGTTAGCATATATATTTTAAAACATTAATTTTTCCAATCTATGAATGTGGGATATCTTTCCACTTATTACTTTATAGTAACTTCGTATAGAGTATAATCAAAAAAATACTGAATTGATATGTTGTAAGCATGAAACTAATATTGTAAGTCAGTTCTACTTCAATTAAAAAAAAAAACGTATCTTAGTGATATGCTTTCAGCACATATCGATAAGACTCTTTCTTTATAATAGTTGCATTAAATTCCATTTCCAGTGTTTGGACTGTTTTTGCTATTACAAACAGAGCTACAATGGCTTACAATTAAAAATATACTCATAAGATTATTTTTTCCAGCTTTACTAAGGAATAATTGACAAATAAAATTGTAATATTTTCAGTGTCCACTGTGATGACTTGATGTATGTATACTTTGTGAAATGGGGTAACCACAATCGGGTTAACTACCATACCCATCACCTCACATTATTACCTTGTGTGTGTGCGTGTGTGTGTGTCCATGCATGTGCACTGAGAACACTTCAGATCCACTCTCTTAGCAAATTTCAAGTATATGATACAGTACTGTTAACTGCAGTCACCCCATTGTACCTTAGAAGGATAATTAACTGCAGAAGTGCTGGTGCAAGGACTAGACGGAATTTTTACTGATGTCAGCACACTGCCTCCCACCCAAGAAAAAGATTATACCACTCTCCACAGTGTTTGAACATCTGGGAAATAACTTCAACTCCCTTAGTTACTCTCCTCAGTCACTTGCTTAGGTTGGGGCACAGAGTAGGGTCTCAGTAAGGACCTTCTGACTGCCAGTCTTGTAAAATCAATCCAAATTCACTCCCTCTCGCTCAATCTAAACAGAAACCAAGATGTACATCCTTGAAGCACAGACTAAAAATATCTATGGTGCCTGGGTTGTCAATTTCCCCCTATTGTCACATTTTCTTAACAAGCCTACCAGCTGAGGATCTATGTGAGTTTAATGGCTTGCAGCTTCCTTGAGCGACAAGGCAATGAACTATCTCCCCTCACTGCTAAAATGAGTAGAGGCTTCTAGATTTAACTCTTCTTACTCAAGGCACAGAACACTCTCAGGAATTCCCATTCACCAGCCAACTAGGGCTCATGAGGCTGAGGAGACCTCATCAGAGATGATTCTGCTAAGGCCACCTCAAAACTTGGCCCAACCTTGGCAAGCCCAGCTTAAATTTTTTTGCGTGTGGGAAAATGGAGAAAGGTCTAGAAACAGGAGCTGACTTCAGGCCTAGTTTACCACTTCTCAGCTGTGTGACTTTGGGCAAGTAACAGCCTCTCTGAGCCTCAGACCTGTCAAGTATAAAATAGGGCTAATAATGATTTTCATAATAATAGTAAACGTTCACTACGTACTAACCACTATTCTAAGAAGCCCCAAGTATTCTATGTGTTTTACCTCATTTAATAATACTAGGCTGTTGTGAAGATTTAATGAAGCCAGATGAAAATGACATGAAAGTGTTCTGGAAACTCTGAAATATTATGTGATTATAAAATTGTTGCTGTTTAGTCACTCTGTCATGTCCGACTCTGAGACCTCATGGACTGCAGCAAGCCAGGCTTCCCTGTCCTTCACTATCTCCTGGAGTTTGCTCAAACTCATGTCCATTGAGTTGATGCTATCCAACCATCTCATCTTTTGTCGCCCCCTTTTCCTCCTGCCCTCAATCTTTCACAACATCAGGGTCTTTTCCAATGAGTTGGCTCTTCACATCAGTTGGCTGAAGTATTGGAGCTTCAGCTTCAGCATCAGTACTTCCAGTGAATACTCAGGGTTGATTTCTTTTAGGATTGACTATTGGCAAAATGCAACAAACATTCACATACCAGGTTTTATTGCTGTCTCACCACAGCTAACAGGATTCTTTCTCATCTGAACTTTCATCTCATTTATCATCTACTCGTGATATTTGGCTCATGGCCTCATCTGATGTTACCTTTCAAACCCAGTTATCTAATAACCTGTGGCATCACTCCCCAATCCCAGCCTCAGACCACTAGATTATGGAGCAATACTTCAAAGCAAGGCATATGCATACAAGCCTGGATTTTTCATCATCTTGGATTTTAAGTATTGATTATGTTCTTTTCATATTATGTGCTCTGAGTTAAGGCCTGTACAAATAGAATCGTCTTATCTAAAGATTTCCAACTCTTTCCCTGAGCTGTGTCGTTATTCACAATCAAGGCTTGTTTCTTCACTGGAGATGTTAGGAGTGATGGTGTTGGCTGGAGAGACGTAGAAAGCCAGAATAGGCCGCCTCAGGACTGAGTGGACTGTGTCTCCGCAGGTCCAGCCGTTTTCTCCTTTCTTCTCGCAAGTGTACATCCCAGGGTGTCATGT